TCGGTTGCATAAAAGTAGGTGTCTTTCAGAAGGATTATTGTTATTTGAAAATAGACATATGAAATCCTTATGTCCACTGTATAATACAATCCACAATCTGAGCCCTATCAAATGTCAGCTGTGATTCCAATGCTCATCATTAACCCCAAATCCTCTATATTCACCCCACTCTCTTACTCAGCTAACATAACTCGTGTGATGTTAGCAGTCAGAATATAGTAGCCAAAATGCTGAAAACAAATGAAGTAGGTGCCAATGGCGTCGTTTACTGTAAAAACAAAATTGCGCATGCGCTGTTGCATAGCAGCCATTTTCCAGCAGTCAAACTAAAATTAATTGTAAATCCCTTCAGTAGATATACCGGGCCCATCCCCGATCTTGGAAAGGAGATCAAGGTAACGTCATTGATCTTAGATGACCTTGAACACGCAATTTGACACAAAAAATGGGGACATTGACCTTGGATGACCTCAAGAATGTAATTGACCATCACAAAAGATGAGGTCTATGACCTTTAAAACGTAATTTGACACTGCAAAGATGGATTCATTGTCCTCGGTGACCTTGAGAATTAAATTATACGCCACATAGAATTGAGGCCATTGACTTTGGCTGACTTCGAGAAAGTAATCAGAGACTGCAAAAAAAGAGGTCATTGACCTCAGATGCCTTTTAAAATATAATTTGACACGGAAAAAATGGTTCATTGATCTTGGATGACCTTGAGAATATAATTAGGCACCACATAAAGAATTCTTTGACTTTTGATTACCTTTAATATGTAATTTGACACCGAAAAACAATGACTTTGACATTGTATACTGTTGAAAATGCTATTTGATACACAAAAATGGGTTCATTGACTTTGGATTACCCGGAGAATGTAATTGGACAACACAAAAAGAGGGTATTGACCTATGACCTTTTTGTGGTCTCAGAATCAATTTTCAATGGCATACAAGGTCAATGGCTGACATTTTTATGTGTCCGCATTACAATTTCGAAGTCATCCAAGGACAATGAACCCATTTGTTGTGGTGTTATATTTTAAGAGGGTATTGACCTATGACCTTAAAATATAACACCACAACAAATGGGTTCATTGTCCTTGGATGACTTCGAAATTGTAATGCGGACACATAAAAATGTCAGCCATTGACCTTGTATGCCATTGAAAATTGATTCTGAGACCACAATTGGGGTCATTGACCTGAGAAGACCTCTAACATGTAATTTAACACCATAAGGTCAATAACCACGTTTGCCCTTAAAAATGTATTTTAACATTGGGGCCTCGGGTGACCTTGAAAATGTAATTTGACACCACAACAAACCGGGACCAACGACCTCGCATAATTTGATAAAAAAGTGGGCTCAATGTCCTCGGATGACTTTGAAAATTTATGGGGTCAATGACTTCTAATGACATTGAAAATGCAATTTGATGCCCAAAAAATGGAGCCAATGGCATCGGATGATCTTGAAAATGTACGGGGTCAATGGCCTCGGACGACGTTTGAAAATTGACGCTGCCAATGACCTTGAATGACACTGAAAATGATGTCACCGCTCACGTGGCACGGGACTTTCACTTACACCTAATTTTCAAGGTAACCAACTATGTGTCACTCACCTTTCACTTTGACATAATTTCCAAGGTCACCGCCACGTCACCTTGACCTACTTTCCTAGATCACCACCAGGTAGCGAGATACCTACTCCCTCTTCCTTAGGACCAATACAAAGTTGTTAAAAAAAACATAAAACAATAAAAAATTGCTGGCACCTTTCACAAAACGATTTCACATCCTAACAAAGCCAATTAAATTTAAAGAGTTTACATTCATTTACTGACCGCCTAAAACGGCGAAATTTACCCCCCTGGTGCAAAATGGTTTCACATTTATTATGCTATTAAATTATACCGACTATGCTTAGTGGTAGAGTGTTGGGATACATACACGGAAGGTCGGGTGTTCGAACCTGGGTTGAGGTAAACATTTTACATCTGTAGAAGAGATGGGAATTGCCTGAGATCCATTTCGAGCATTCGGCCGGCTACTCCGAATTAGGCTTTCCTGCAGTTTTCATAATTCGTAAGGCAAATACAGGAGTACTTAAGACCTTTTGCAGGGGCACCTCTAAAAAGCATTATGCGGGTCATTCTGTAATTAAGCGCAAACCTGTTGAGAGTCCAGAACAAGAGAGGGACAATAAATAAATAAAATAAACCAAGTATCTACATAAAATTATCAATCACTTACTACCCATCTGACAGGGAGAAATGTATCCCTAAAGTAAAAAAATCTATATGGCACCCTTAGAAAAAGGTTTCAGATTCTGACATCTATTATACTATTCGCATTGACACTAAGTATCTCCAGAAAAATTGACAATAACTTACTGCCCGTATGACAGGGTGAAATCTACCCCCAAAAGCTAAACAAATATATATGACACCCTTAGAAAAAAGGTTTCATATTCTAACATCTATTATGCCATTTGCATTGACACTAAGTATCTCCATAAAAATTGACAATAACTTACTGCCCGTATGACAGGGTGAAATCTACCCCAAAAGCTAAACAAATATATATATCACACCCTTAGAAAAAAGGTTTCATATTCTAACATCTATTATGCCATTTGCATTGACACTAAGTATCTCCATAAAAATTGACAATAACTTACTGCCCGTATGACAGGGTGAAATCTACCCCAAAAGCTAAACAAATATATATATCACACCCTTAGAAAAAAGGTTTCATATTCTAACATCTATTATGCCATTTGCATTGACACTAAGTATCTCCATAAAAATTGACAATAACTTACTGCCCGTATGACAGGGTGAAATCTACCCCAAAAGCTAAACAAATATATATATCACACCCTTAGAAAAAAGGTTTCATATTCTAACATCTATTATGCCATTTGCATTGACACTAAGTATCTCCAGAACAATTGACAATAACTTACTGCCCGTATGACAGGGTGAAATCTACCCCCAAAAAATAAACAAGTTCATATGACACCCTAAGAAAAAAGGTTTCACATTCTAACATCTATTACGCTATTCTCATTGACACTATAAGTACCTCCGGAAAAATTTACAATAACTTACTGCTCGTATGACAGGGTGAAATATACCCCCAAAGAATAAACAAATTCATATGGCACCCTTAGAAAAAAGGTTTCACATTCTAACATCTATTATGATATTCGCATTGACACTAAGTACTTCCAGAAAAATTGACAATATCTTACTGCCCGTATGACAGGGTGAAATATAATCCCAAAAAATAAACGAATTCTATCATTTATTATGCTATTCGCATTTTTCTGGATACTTGTTGTCAATGTGAGTAGCATAATAAATGTTAGAATGTGAAAATTTGCACTGTAAATCTACATTAATTGTAATCATGATATGCTCTAATATAGAGACATATTTTAATTCGGTTTTTCTGTAAATCAATACCTCTTGAAATTGACAGAATTCTTATGGAATTCATGGAATTCTTTTGGAATTCATTGAATTTTTAGTTTCTTCATAGTCTTTTTCCTATAGTTCCAGTTGTAGCTTACTTTATATTGATATAGTCCGCCACGAGACGATTCAAGTATTTATATCATCGGCCACTATGCGGAATGGCGATCTTTTCAAAGCGTATTACACGGAAATATCGTATTAAAATCGCAGATGTTTTTTGGAAATTGACCAATACACATATTTAACGCTTAATTTCGTGCCTTTTTATCATTGTGAAGAGCATCATAAATCTTCAGCTGTTTATAAAGTAACGAGGTGAGGCGGCGCAACCACTGAAGCGGAAGCTATGTGCTCGTGTTGATTCAGATGATTTCATTAATGCCTGAATATGAAATGGACTGGAGTTTGGAATTTTGGAATTCTGGTGTGCTCGTTTTTGCTCAGTAGTAAACCCCTAGAAACCTCCTCAATAAATAGTGAATGCAAACGTGCACGAATTCTGTAGACATATTCTCCCTTTTCTTGTTTAAATCTGCAATTGCAACTTTTTATTCCCAGTTTTACTATCAATTCATACCCATTTTATGACAGCAGATTTTAATTTGGATTTGAATGTTTTAATTTTTCGCAGAAAAAAGTAGAGGCTTGGTTCCCTGATTAGCTCCGGAAATTTCCGGCGCCCTAAAGTCTCGGTTTAGTATCGCATTTCATCTTACATTATTTTTGAAAAATTGTGTTTCATAAATAACATAAAATACTATAAAAAACAATTGATAATTTTACAAGTAATTATTACGAATATTAAAAAAAATGTTATCTAAGCTTTGACTTGCCCCGATCTTCTGCCACTCTTCGGCAGACGACTTCTTCTTTGCCTCTCTTTTGTACCAAATATGTTCTCAACGGAATCTCAAATTTGACCCAAATTTGGTGTCAGTCATTAGGGCTCAATGGACCATTGTTAGTGACAGTTAATTGGCATTGTGATTGATTTTGATTCAAAGGTTTTTTAAAACTGAGGAGAACATAAGTTCTTAATTTTCTGGTCATTATTTTGTTTACATGGCAATTTCCACAAGTGATGAAACAAATTAATTGATTTTTGAAAATCATACTGTTGAATATAGTGTTTTTAAATAATGAAATATAATGTGATTAAATAATAATAATAATCAATTAAACATCGATATACCGATAACCGTTAATCGATACCGCAGCGATTATCTCCGCGCCAATGATGCTCTCCACATCAGGTATCATCGATAATCATCGGCACATCGATGGAATCGTATTCAAAGTACAAACCTGGCCGAATGAACGGTTTCAGTTATTCGCAAAAAGAGAACGCAACACAAACTTAGCTTCACCCACATGCCACGATGTCTTCTACATTAGTGTTTCAGTCCAATATTGCATACCTACCGCAAAATTCTTTTACCACAGACCCACTTCTAGGTCTAGATCTTTTTAGGTGACTGCGACAGGTTCGGCAAGTAAAACTAGTCCGTAACTGACCTCATCGAGGGGCATACTTTACTGTTTTAACACGTACAATTACAATAAATTACATTGCGCGGACATTCATGTTTGTTGATTCTTTTGGTTGACGTACGCCGCTGCGTTCTCGATCGACTTGTCGTACTCGACGTCCGACGAGATCGGACAAATGCACGGCACGAGCTGCACGTTTTGGACGTTCGGCGTCGGCGACAGAGACGCGTGCAGCGGCATCTGGATCGGTATCGCCGGTAGCGGCACGGGCTGTCGATCGTCGACGGGCGGCGACATCTGCATATATCTGGGGTAGTACGCCGGTAACGGGTAGGCCTGTACGGTGCGCTGCTGGGTAGTTCTGTAATGTATATGAGAGAATTTAGGGGTAGAAAGGAGCAACGGTGAGGTAGATGCAGAAATGCGGGAAGCATATTGGGGTGAAGTGTAGAGAGGTGTGGAAGAAGAAGGTTCTTGGGCTTCTGGGTTGAGCGAGTTGGTTTTTTGGGAGAAATACGTACGGTGCGCCTGAACTCCAGAAGAAGGCTTTCGCGCACGACGCGCATACTGTCATTACGCCGAGGCATATCTGGAATAAAAAAATACATCTTAACACAAACTTTTAGAAATTCAAGAATTCAAAAGAGTTCCGAAAAGCTTATACTGCTTTGGAATTCCCAGAAGAGAAGACTACGGGCATCCAACTCCCCAGGGTTTTCCAAAGTCCCGAGACCCCTCCGGATCCTCTAACTCGGCACAGCTAGTGGAAAGGCTTTCAAAACCATTTAGCGCTTGTCACTTGAATGTCCCTAAGTCTTTCGAACAGTTCCCTTCAGAGCGTCGCGTCTTTGTATAATCGCTCTGAAGAAAGTCGTAGAGCTCTGGACAAAGCTTTGGAAGGCTTTAGATTGTTTTGGAAAGGCTTAAAATACTCTGTAAGGCAATGAAGGCATTGAAAGTAGTGTATGAATCTTCAGACCCATTTAGCACCATCCAGAGTCTTTCAACACTACCGGCAGGCTCTGTAAGCCATGTTTAGAGATTACTAAACGGCTTTGGGGTTTATTCATACACATTGAGTCTCAAGAAACTTTAAAAAATACAGAAATAAACAGTGCCCCAGAAAGTGAAGAGTATTAACCTGGCATAAGTCACTTCAAAGGAATCTTCCGAGCGATTCACACAACTCCTCTTTAAGCGCCAGTTGAATTTCTCGGCATTCACGCAGAACGGTGGCAGTTGTTTTTTAGTCAGATCGATCGTGCTAAAGCAGAAGCCCATGAGATCACTGCAGTTCTAGATAACGAAAGTCTGCAGGCTTGTAAACCCTACAAGAATAGTGGTCCTAAATACTTTAGTGGGGTGCGAAAATGCTCTAGGAAAGGGCTCGAGTTAGCTAAAAAGTAGAAAGCGCAAAAACTCTGAAAAGCAGTTAAAGCGCCTGGGAAACTCCCACAAGCACATAAAAACTCTAGAATTGGCACAAGTTTTAGGTCGGCGGTAAAAGTGGTTTCAAGGCGTTTTCCATTTCTCTTTAGAGTATTCTCAGCGAAGTTTCCGGTGCTCTCATCTAAGCAGATCATACCAGAAATGGACAAACCTAGTCAGAGTTGTAGGGCCTGAAAGGTTCGCAGAAAAGTTTGTAAACGGGGAAAATTGTATGGCACTGACCTAAATAGCTATAATATTCTTGAGTAGTCTTAGAAAAGAAGAGTTTGGATGAGGGTCTTGAAAGCCCGAAGAGCTTAGGAGCCTTTTAGAAACTTTCGCAAATCTCTGCAGAGTATTCGATCACATTATCGGCCCATTTCAGAAGAAGTGCACGGGAAATCAGTCAGGAATCTCCCGAAAAGCTTTGAACTCTGTTAAATACTTTGTAAGGCATCCACAATGCTATGATTTCGCGTTTAGAAACGTCATAAACGTACCCATGGAGCTACATAGCGTATTTGGGATGTTATTATTAGGGAGCTAATGCCCAAGGTACTTTAGGTGGACTCTGGAAGAAGCCATAAGGTTCTGAAGACCTTTACATACCTTTCAAAGAACTTGCATGCAGGCGCTATGGGCACTGTACGTGTTGGGAAATAATGTAGAACCGGGGGGTCTGGGGGGACCTTAATCTCTCCTTTTGGTATAGAATACCAATTACCACCCATCCAAGCATCTGGAGATTTATAGGTGTAGGGAAAAGAGCGTTGAATCACTCCTTTGTTATTGGGGCAATTCCATATCCCCCAGACCCCCCCCCTCCCCCGGTGTTACGTTACCTTCATAAACGTTGAGACCTAAGTACTCTCTTAATAGTTTTCTAGAAAGGTCCTTGCCATTGCTTTCCTGACGAAAATTGCATTCCCTACAGACTCCTGGTGTTACGGAGGATGGTCCCTTTCTAAAAATTATAGTGCAGGTCTGGTGCTATGGACACTGGGAAAGAATGGGGAACAGTGAGATGTGGGCCATACCCGCCAGCCAAGTGTCAGGAGATGTTGAAAGGTGTAGGGAAAAGAAAATTGAGTCACTCTTTTTTTGCTGGGTGGTATAAATAGTGCAAGTACTATGGGCACGGTACGTTTTAGGTAAGAATGTAGAAACGGGGATCTGGGGGTAGGAATACCGCCCAGTCAAGCATCCGGAAATGTTGACGGGTGTTGGAAAAAGAACATTGAATCACTCATTTTTCCATAGGGGTATTCTATACCCCCAGACCTCCCGGTTCTGCATTCTTTCTCAAAACGTATAGTGCCCATAGCAGTTGCACTATAATTTCTGGATAGGGACAATCCAGCGTAACACTAGGAGTCTCTGGGGTATGAAATTTTTGCCACATAGGTCAGATTCGATTGTGCTTTTTAGAAAACTATTACGACAGACCTTAAGGCGGAACTTTTTCAAAGATAATGCAACACCAGTGATCTGGGGGGTTGGGAATACCACCCAGAAGCAAAGGAGAGTGATTCAATGTTTTTTCCCTATAACTATTAAGACGCTTCCACACTATCCACACCACCCGGCTCTACTTCATACCCAAAACGTATAGTTCCCATAGCACTTGCACTTTCATCTTTGGAGAGGCACCATCCAACGTCTCTGGGGGGTATGGAATTTTGGTCAGGAAAGCAAGATTCGATGGTCCTTTGTAGAAAACTATTACGGGAGACCTCAGGGCTTAGCGTTTTCAAAGATAATGTATCACCGAGGGGTCTGGAGGGTAGGGAATACCTCCAATGAAGAATTGAGTAATTCGATGTTCTTACCCTACACCTCGCCCTACACCTATATCAATCCCTCCAGACGCTTGGCTGGGGGGTGTTCCCTACCAAAATAAATTCAATGTTCGTTTCCTATCGTAGTTCCTAGGCACAAGGCTGGGGCAAGGTTATTTTATTTCAAAGGTTACCTGGTAACTATGATGTCCATGAACTTGGCAGGCCTACTACAGCAGACCATAGTTCTACTTACTCATATCGTTAGTGCTCCGTTAGTGCACGTTAGTGCCGCTGAAGAAATCATTAGTGCAGAAAAGGAAACTTACTATTTTAAAAAAATATTTGTGGGCCTGCTAACTTCATGCCAGCAGACCCATTTGAGAAAATCGATTCAATCTTTGCACTAGTTAAACTAGCAGCGTTAGTGCTCGTTAGGGCCGCCGATATAAACGTTAGTGCTCAAAGTGCAACAGCTCAAAACGTCGTAAAAAGGGGTCTGCTAACTTCATGCAGCTGACCCACATTTGTCAAATTGGCTCAGTCCTAATGCAAATTTGAAGCGGCTCGTTAGTGCTCGTTAGTGCTTCACATGCGAACGTTAGTGCTGCAAGGGATCCGCGTCAAAAAGGTACCAAACCACCTCAAAATTAAACTTGACTTATTGGGATCTGCCAACTTCACGCCAGTAGACCAACGAGTGAAATCCGTTTGATTTTCTACTTTAATCGACCGGTAAGTATTAGTGCTCGTTAGTGCCGCCAATATAAACGTTAGTGCTCAAAGTGTAACAGCTCAAAACGTTGTAAAAAGGGGTCTGCTAATTTCATGCAGCAGACGCACATTTGTCAATTTGGCCCTGTCCTAATGCGAATTTAAAGCGGCTCGTTAGTGCTTCACTTTCGAACGTTAGTGCCGCAAGAGATCCTCGCCAAAAAGGTACCAAACCACCTCAAAATTAAACGTGGCTTATTGGGACCTGCCAATTTCACGCCGGTAGACCAACAAACGAAATCCGTTTGGTTTTCTACTTTAATCGATCTATTAGTATTTGTGATCGTTAGCGTCGCAAAAAAAAAGCGTTAGTGCTCAAAGCGCAACAGCTCAAGATTGAAAATATGAGTTTGCTTTGTGAAAAACTATATAACGATTAAATTAGTGATGCCTTTATTAGCTCTGGTTTCAATTTTTATTTTCATATTTTGCATTTTATAATATGCGGTTCAAAACATTGGTATGATTTCTTTTTAATATACTGATGCTAGTACCTTACACTCAGCGCCGCCGCTAGGCTTTAGGAGGCCTAAGGCAAAATGCGCCGAAGAGGCCTATGCTAGGTAGAGTAGTTCTCGGGAAAATATGGTAAACACAGATGTGATAACATAAAGGTAAATTTGTGGATGTAAACTGAAATTATGCATAATGTTAGGTATGCGTATCAGGGCCGTAGCCAGACTGTATAATCAGGACAGGCTCACAAACATTCAGGACAGGCGGCCTATTCCTGAACTATGACAAATGAAGCAAGCATACATAAACGTGTGTTTGCTATGCCACTGGTTCAAGATTACGTCAAAATGGCGTTACAAGCGTATACAAACTTGTTCCAATGATATCGAGAATATGCCTCCAGACTGAAATCTGAAATGTAGGTAATGGCATTTCTAGTTTTCAAAAAAACACTACTGGCTTTATTTTCATAAGCACTTATTTTATTTTGCAAATAACCACTCGGCTGGCCTAAATTAACAAAAAATTCAAAATTTACTAGGTTTGTGAACACACGTGGAATTTTTTTTAAATAATGAATAATAATCTAAAATCAAACCCTGAATTTCTCAGAGTGACCTATTACTACATTAAATGTACCCTGGAACGAATTTAATGCTCATCAAACAGCACAGACGATAGCAGATATCAAATGTCACTTACTTTTACACACTTGTTTTTTCACGGTAAGCAATCGCAATCCTCTACCTTTTATATTTATATTTAATAACATGCTCGAGAAAAATACATCAAAATAAAGTAGTACTTCGCATTTTTTAAATTTAAAAGTTTTTAATCACCGATTCTTAACCAGATTAAATTTTCTCAATCGTCCTCGTAATAGAAGCGTATATGGTTAAAATTTTTCAGAGATTTTCGTAAGTAAAAAAGATGTCATTTTGCAGTTTGCGCATGCGCACATTTGATTTTTTACTACGTGTTTCCCTTTGCGAATTACATTTCTAGTTTTCGATTTTTACTAAATGTGATATGTTTTTCTATACTAGAAGCATCTATGGTTACAAATTCGAAGAAATATTGTCATAAATAATGAAGTTGGGACTGCGCAGAATCTAATGTTTACAATATGAGATATGTTTGCCTTCGTTGAAAAATGCGCTAAGAGATCAAAGCTTCACCAAATATTTGTGATAAACCACCGAC